CTACACCAGGTGGTAGAGTCCAATCAAATGATCCAAGGAAAGCGAACGCTGATGGAGTGGACAATGGAAGTGTCAAAAATGGTCCTGGTCATGTGAGCCAGACATCTTTCGGCCAAAAAAGTCCAAAAGCTAACACTGGACTCCGACCGGATGATCCAAGGAAAGCGAATGCTAATGGAGTAGACAATGAAAGGGCCAGAAATACACCAGCCAAGGAAGTGGGTCATTTGACTATCAGTAAGAAATCACCACTCTGTACCAAAGCATTTGGTCCGGGTGATCTAGGTGTTCCGTGTGATGAAAGTGGTGAAGCTGACCTGACTTCACTCGAAGGTGGAAGTTCGGAAGAACTTGATGGGCCAAATGGGGGTAAGGGTGCCGTAAGAAAAGAGGGATTCAAGACACCCAGAAGTACAGGCGGAATTGGATTTAGTGGTATCAAAAAAGGCAACTCCACTACTCCCGAAACTAGGGATGATGCTAAGATGCGTGGCTCACGTCCAATTCATTCCGCTCCTAATGTGAGACATACAACAGATTTTTCCACAACGAGAGCAAAGGGTCATACGGCTGGAAGCGGTTTTTACAGAAATCATCTGCTCGGTGCAGGAAAAAATTACCTCCAGCCAAAAAGTCACCCCTCTCTCGAAAATTTGCAAGGCAGTGAGAACAGGACTGGAAAAGGAAGGCGAACTCCCAATCCCTCCAATCGATTTGCGAGGATTGAGGGCTCCCAATATGGCTACATTGATTTGGTGAAAGAACTGGGAATGCTCGACAGAAATGCTGTCTACTACTACCTCTATGTATTTCTTCACCAAAGAGACGTGAGTCTAACGGAAAGTCAATTTAAAAATGGGAATACCTTCTAAGGCAACTTATCTGTTAGAGTTTCGTAGTTTAAACAGGCATTAATTAAATGGAACTCTCCTTGATTTGCTCATCATTGGATTCAACTCGAGCGTAGAGTGAAATCCACTGCCATTTTTCAAAAGGTAGATAAGGAGCTGGTGCCATTTGAGACGCGTCGTTGCATCGAGAAGGCGCTGGAGACAGCCTCGAGTGATGAGGAGGAGCGCCTTCGCCTCTGCATTCTCAACAGCAAGGACAGACGTCTCAGTAAGGTAGAGCTCACTACAGGCTGTAAAATTGAGTTAGGTGAGTTAACTGGAGTAGAGAACTGCTATCGCGGTTTGCCACGCCGTCGACTAAACATCACGGGTCCCTCCTACGTGCACATCGCCAACGCCATCACCATGCTGGAGCAGTACTTTCCACGACTTATGCGCAATGCCACCTACCCCTACCCTCTGCCGCGGGGCACTACGACCAAGTACGAAACGGAGGAGCGCATGGCCACCACAGCTTTCCGAACCGTCGACCACGAGCCCGGCAACATCGGACTGCGCGCCGACTTCAACGACCGTGCCCTAGTCACATGTCGACAGGTGCGCGAGGCCTACGAGGGCGCCTGACCCCAGAACGCTCCGCCACACTCCGTCCTTTCCATGGGTTTAATTTTTGTTTGTCAGTTCCCTAATGAAAAATAATGAAATCATGTTGCTTTCGTTGCCGATCAATAAAAAGAACACTTCGGCCCTTTTCATTGATTGGCCCAGGCGTGGCAACCTCCTATGAGCTGTTCTTCTTGCACAGATATACCCGAGTGCTCAATTGTTGCCTTTTGAAACAGGAGGACTCATTCACAGTCACCAAGCAAATATGATGACACTGACGTTAGCAAGCAAAATAACATACTAGGGTGGTACTTGAATGCCTTTTGGTTTTCAAACGGGAACCAAATATGATGGGATTTTCTGTCAGACGTTAGCATTAACAATAACTCATACCATGCAATTCAAAAAAGTGTGGGAGTCTGAGCGCACTGTTTTTTTTTCAAATTCACAGTAGCTTGGAGACATCTTTTAGCACCACAAAGTCCTTCCACATACTGAGATCATACCTAAAGAAGAAAATTTTTGCAAATCCAGTTGTTCAAGCTCTATATCTTAGAAAGACTGGTCATTATGGTTGAATCCACATCTGGAATCTTTGATAGGGAATTAGAAGGTAGACCTGCATGTGTAATTTCTCTCGACATTAGGTTTATAATGCCCTTACATTTCTTCACAGGATTGATCGTCTTCTGAAAACAGCAGTTTTACATCCTAACCTAGTGGTTTAATTTTTAAACTGGTAGTATTTTAATATGGTAAATAATTTATTTTTAGCTGCTCATCCATTCATGAAAGCAAAATTATTACAACCGTTGACATTTACTTACTCGTAAGGTAAAAAATCACATTCTAGAAATTAGAAGTAGTCTAATCGATCACTGAAAGCGTTCAAAATGGAATGCATTTCAACGTAGTCAAGTGATAGGTATTCACACTGAGGGAAGATTTCACACCTAATTCGGCCGATTGAGGTATACGCAGTTTGATATTATCTCAGCTCATTATTTTGACTTGTCAGCTCTGATGAGTTTTAAAATATAGCACCATAAAATGAGCCCTTTTGATGCCCAATCTACAAAAAAGTGCCCTCTGTTTACAAAAACTTTCATTTAAAGGAATTTTAGAAATGACCATTATGAGGAATATGTGTCCTTCAAAAAAGAGCACATTTTTGATCGTTTATTTAGCAAACCTACGGGGGGGCTTTCCAACGAAGTTGTTCTCTAGAGCTACGTAAATTTAGTCAGATATACCATTAGGGGTGAGGATTTGGAGCCAGGAATGCATCAAATCTCGCTATTAATGCTGCCCTCACATTATTTGGAGGTACAACTTGAAAGCAGTTAATTAAAAAAATATTATGTGATGTAGAATTTGGTGATTTCGTAGCTCAATCTAAACGTTAAACTTAACGCTTTACTCATTGTGGGTTTCCGTGAACAATACGGATCCATTTGAATTTCATTACATTTCTAAGCCACTATATTTCATCACATAAGCAGCTATTCCTTAAGTAGAGAAGTCATGTAATATGCGTATTTTAATATGTCATTCTTCTAGTGCTACTACTAAAGAATGTTATCACCTTTTGTTTTCATACCAAGGCGAGAAAAATGCTGAAGCACATGCTGATTTAAGGCAAACGGTGGGGTGGTGTATCCTCCAAATGGTGACAAGTACGAAAAACAACTTTTTACTTACGAGCTTCTTTTTTACACCCCTAATAAAGAACAGGCTTTTTAGGAACTTGATGGGTTGGAAAATGTCCTTCAAAATTATTTTCGTCAGTATACTGAATTCTAATCACTAGAGTGTTTAGGAAAATTAATTTTTGCAGGATACAGCATCGTAGTTCTCGGTCTTCTTTTTTAACATCACGAACTGTCACTTTATTTAAACCAAAGTAGTAATCAAGACCTTTAAAGTCCCTTTTACAATTATATGGAAAAAAACCATACCGAAATTGGAACTTTAAACTCATTTTCAACAGTCTTCATAGCAAAGTGGTAAAATTATTCTTTAATTTCTATGAGCACTTAACTTGGAGTAAGCATTCATCTCAAAATCAACTTTGTTCCTAAAAGAAATACCGTTGCAACACTACACCATCATCAATTTGACGTTGTGATGATCATTTGTGAACGGCTCGGTCGTATGCAACGGTACCTTGTTCCTTAATATAGTGAGTACCCAACCCATCTGTTGTTTTGCTATTCAAAAATTTAGCAAAGGTATTCCCATTGATTAGCATTCAGCAATTTGCCCTTTTTTCTTCTAAAACGGAACCTGCAAGTCCACCCACCTCTATGGATTACAGGCTGAGAACACCTCTTACGATTCCTTCTTTTTGTTTGACAATAGAATTCCACTTTTAGACGATTGCAGTTGCAATAGGCAAAATAAAACTCCTTTTATATTATTCCCTCTAAGTGAAGATGCTAGTCGTATTCGATGGTTGAGGGATACAAAAAAGGGAAGGGCACGCGTTTGTTCATGCTAACATTCCTATTATTCACACGCATCAGCAAAATTCATTGACAGTTACAAAACCTAGCGGCAATGATTAACCGATTTTGCGGGTCAAAAAAACTCTCTGGACAGAGTGAATGAATGTAGGCCTCATTTTTTCGGCCACAACAGGAAGTAGCCCAGCCATTGACACGAATAACGCATGCTAATCAAAATCCTACTTTCCCATCGCGTGCGATGGGTTTCCTGCTATTTTTTAACCACTAAAAGTGTTTTAGCACCAGTGAGTAAGCACTTTTGCCATGGAATTTGACGGTTGACTGGTTTTATCATTCCAGGTGAGGCTAACAATTCCAGATTCCTATACCACTTTTGATTAGGTGCTGTGCCAATTCAGAAACTGACGTGATATTTGCAAAAAGAATATTTCGCTTTTAAAGCACCTGCATCTAAATAGATTGAAGCCCATTGTTTGTTCGGATGAAGTGTTCACCCTTACAATGACCATTTGTGCGGTTCTAGCCAGGAAATTCTCGAAAAGGGTGTTATGCATACAGTATACGTAATCTCCGCCTTTGGATTACAAACGATAAGTTAAATTCCCCAGGGGATCGTCATGCTTATACTGGGCATCACAAAGAAATGGAAATAAGCGGAGGTTAGGTCAAATTTGAACGCGGTCTTTATTTTCTTGGTGATCTAGCTATTAGGCGACCAAATAGGTTCGTGTGGTTTTCAGTGTAGTTCGTTTTTTTTTCTTTTGTAATCTATAGGGCTTATAAAATCCATATTGATGTTTATTAGCATTATAAAGTATGGAAATGTCCAGGTCTAGTTGCGCTCTTTGTTGGGCTCCACTACCTTGCTCTCGTTTTCAACCTCCACATCATAAAATGCCAGTTGAACCTGATATGATTCCAGCTTACTATATTTCAAATTTAAAATTACTTTCAATGCTGTAGGAGTTTCTCTTAGTATCTTTAATATTCTTTGGAGGAAATGCGGCAGGTGGTAACAGAAGGTACCGCCCAGAAATGGTTTTATAACTGGAATTCTGTAGGTGAATGTCTCAGAGATGGGTACATTACATTTATGAAGACCCTCTATTCCTGACAAATTTTATTCGGGTAATGTTTACCATGAGGTATGGAGCAATTTGTTTACATCTACATCCTTAGAAGACGTAATAGGAGTCAAGTAAATGGGTCCCATTCAAATTCATTGCTGTCAACTTGTACCTCACCCCTCCATTTCACGTAACTTATGGAGACGGACTGTGGATTTTATAGTGCTTTTGACAGGCCAAAGTGTGATGAGAAAAAAACACTGCCATTCCAAAGTTCATAAAATGAGGGAAAACGTTAATGGTTATCTCCAACCTATGCACATATTGCACACCCCACATCTCCAAGACACTACTTCATCCCCGGAAGACTGTGCCTCAAGTCTTTGAGTGGCAGACCGCAGGCGAAATTCGCCATTAAGAAATCCTTGTTGAAGGTCAAACTGTTACGGATAGGATCTACTCGTTACACCTCAAATGTGTTTACGATACACCTCTTCAAAGGCAGCTAATGCTGGCCAGTCACTTAATATGGCCGCAAAGCTTGTCGCTGAGATGACACTACACCGCGCATTAGGATAGCAGGAAGAAGCTGATCCATCCTACACATTACTTCTAGATTCCGTCAAGTTACGATTATGGCCTTCTCCTAGTATTCGACAATCACCTGCCAAATAGACAGTTTGACAATAAATATGTGGCATGGATACTAAACTCGCTTTCCAAGACAAAGAATTTTGCGAGGGTGAAGTTAACTATCTTTTGTTTCGCTGAACGAGGATTGTAGATTGCATTTGTGGTTGATCCAATGCATAAAGTACTTTTGAACCGATGTGATTTTTATTGTAGTGACAATAACTTACTTGTTTACCATACGCTTTCCTAGACGCCTCATATGCATTAATTTGCATGACTTTAAGGATTACCCATGGAAATTCATATAGAATGCCGTAATTTCACCATATTTTTGCACAAATTACCTGTACGAGGTTAATCCTCGCAAATTTTATTCTTCAACGTTTCATTAGCTATCACCTACAAGTGTAATAAGCTTAAAGTGACGTCTCGTTAGTCTATGTAGGAGAAATTTTAATTACCATTAAATGAAACACTTTGAAAACGCCCTTTTTCTTATTCAGTTGGGGTTGAACCTACAGTGAGCAATTACTTTGGCAATAGGGCTGAAGGTTCAATTAGCAACACGTTTAAGGATAAATTCAAATTACTGAGGTGAGCTCCCACCCACCACACGTATCCCGTTATCTGGCATTGGGCAGTAGTGTCTACAACCGATCAAAATACGATCCACTTAAGCTACATACGCACTTGTAAATATGTACACTTCATCAATGCATCCTTACATTGCGTCTGGTAAAAAAGTTGGTCAGTCATTTGACTTAGCAAAAAAGGATGGAGTAAAAATCCAAAAAGGTTGAGAAATCGCCTCAATGCAGGAGCATTGGGAGAATGGGAAGGGGCGGATGGAGAGGAAGGGCGTGGATATCTATCGATAGAACGCCGTAGAATAAAAGGGATTGGGTCGAGCCATCGCGGACTGCCAGCCTATGTGCCCCTCGAAGTTGGAATTCCAAGCGTTGCGAGAGGCTTGGTGGAATCCTCCGCTCCCTCCCCCACCACCACCGATGCCTCCGCGACCGGCGCGCGCCAGAGTGGCGATGATGGCGCGTGTAAGGCCTGCGGACGCAGACTTGGGGCGCATCCGAGGCCGCAGAGCGCGCGTTAGGCCCGCCTCCACGTCCATTGTTGTGCGGCCACTCTTGTGGGCCTCGTCTGCACAAATGAGCACAACGAAAAGCAATTCAGCTTTATGTTTGTAGCACTTCCGTGGTGGATGCTTGTTGATCGACGTATCCGGCCAGTTGTAGACCTAGGATTTTTTCAATTACTTTATAAGCTGCCATAGTGTTACTGCTTTCAGTCCGCCTCCTTCAAATCCAGATGATTTCTTGTGAGTGCATGAATGGACAATTATGAGTGCACAATAATTTTAACCTTTAAAATACTTTTTTTCCGGCTACGCCTTACTACGATTAAATTAGTGGCATTATGGCTTCGGCTTTTGAATAATGCAAAAGTACAATAGAAATATTATGCAAAAAATGCCAGAATTCAAAAGTAGACCATAATGCCTTTAAAGTTCATCTCCACAGCAAACAATAAATGTTCTTTTTTCGCTGAAAATTTGTAGTTTGTTAATAGAGGAACATCACTTTTAGTAGTTTATACATCTTAACAGTGAAAGGAGTGCTCAAATAACCTTTACTACTTTTATATACAGATGTAATAAGCTAATGCTTTGTTTTACTCTTAGTTCTGTTAACAGCCCCTTAGGGGCCCCGCCATTGTACGCTCTCTGGGCGGCCTGGCTTCTAGGCGATGCCAGTAGCCCCCAAGCCCTTTTGTACATCAACAATACATACTCTCCCAAGTACTAGGTCTTTTTACACCTTCAGAGAAGTCTCGAGACATTCCACATGTAAAATGTGAAAGCCCTGTCCAACTCATATGCGGTCCTCATCAATCGGGGAATTTCGCATTAGCTGACAGAAAATCACAAGCTTTTTAAAAACCTCCCGCTTCTCCGAAACATAACTACCTGCCAGAGGTAACCTTCCTAAAATTCCATTCCAAATGGTTATATTCTTTTCATTTAAAATGCACCTTAACAGTTTACCTACGTGGCATCGTATAGTCAAAGCTTTAGATGCTAGAAATTTATGTAAATAAGTAGCAAGTTCTAGCAAGTCATTTAACTGGCGACCGATGTCATTCCGCCAGAAGAAATAGAGCACGGGAAATGATGATTCTGCAATACTTTAATTGTTTGATTAACTCTGGTTTGATTCCGCCTTTATACTTCCACCGGACGGCCTGGCCTCCGGCCATGCCAGTAGCCCCCTAGCCCTTCTGTACCGTCGACAATACATATTTCGCCTTGGCGTCACGACTTCTTTCAGCCTTAAACGAGTCTCAGGACGCTACAGTATAGTTAACTTTACCCATGTATCCCAATTCGTTTTTCCATTCTATTTACTTAAAATACAGGCAGAATCCATTCACTGCCGAATAAAATGTTCAAGCGTGACATTTAAGTTTCATGATATTTCCGTTCTCGGTAATGATTTTGTTTTTTTCACCAATTAAGCATGACCTTTTAAATGCCTGAGAATTGTAAATACAGCAGCGAGAGAGAATGGGGGTAATTTAAAAATAGGTACCTGAAGAAGTGGACCCGACCAGAAGGGTTTGCCTAATGACAATTGCCATATGCAGCTGTTTTTAAAAGAAGAAACAATTTTGTGGTTAAAATAAATCATTCCCAACCTACGTTCGCCCTGGTTTGTTGACATGCACTAAATGTCCAGAATTCAACGGAGGGTTTGCTGGAATCGGACAAAGTATGCGCAAATGTTGCACTTCTTTTTCCAACTAAGCCTCATAAAAACCGATGCGCTCTCGACTAGACCACACATTTTTTGGCGCCTTGATGACGAAAGCACATGAGAGACAGTTCTAACCTGAGATACATTAAAGTACTAAAATAGAGGCATTAGAAGAGGCATTCCTTTACCCCTCGTAACTCTTAGTATTTGGGTATCCCGGTTATAGTTCCCGATTTCCCCGTTTATTCCTAATGTAGGCTGTCAAGAAAAGAGAAGAATAGTCTACATCAATCGACGCGGTCAAGAGGAGATAAGGGAAGGCTTCCAACTGGGTGGGGTTCATCTGCACTGGACAGAAGCAACGTCGCCGTTACTCATGAGTTGTTTTGCGGGCATTCTGACTATGGAGAGGTAGAATAAAAGTTGCTGCGTCGATGCGCAGTAGTGGCAAACAAGCATGCAATGGTGAATTCTTGTAAATCATTACTACAGAGCAAGAATTAGCCCACGCCCTGATTATCCTCGTCCAAAACTGATGGTGATTGGTAGAGATCAAATGGTGTAAAGTAATTTCACTTGATGTGCTAGGCATTTTCCATTCATCTTCATACGAATTCACAATTAAATTATAAGTAGTAACAAGTTTGCGTGTGCATTTGCAATCAAACAAGTAGCATATTTTAACCAACAAAAAGGAGTAACCCTTAATGCAATACTTTGTCTTTCGGTTTTGATAACGGCCACCTGGATACTCTGCCATTGTACCTTCGCCGGGCGGCTGGGCCTCCGGGCCATGCCGGTAGCTCCAATTCCTTCTGTAGGTTAATAACACATATTCTGCCCTGAGTATTATGCCTCATTTTGTCTTCAGGGAAGTCTGGGGACGCCACATTAAAGCGTATTTTCAGTTCATCATTTTGCCAGCTTTATCTGCATTACAGAGGCTAGCAGAAACTTTTTACATTAAATACACTTAAAATGGTAGCGTTAATTCGTCTCCTTGGCACTGGTGATGTTAAACTGCTCGAAGACCATGACATTGTAGCTTTCAATGGATCGAGTAGTCTATTCCTACATCGCGAGGATCCTACCTTCAGATTGTAACAATGGAGCCTAGATTCAAAAATGTCATGTTAAATTAAGACTAAATAGTTATGTAAGAAAAAGGTGTCCGTTGTTATTCATGGAATAGCTGTTAAAGTTCTGAAGCAGCTCCATACTCTAAGAATTAGCTAACAATTTCAAAATCACCACTACTTCGCATTTTAGCATTGGACCACAGAAGGGAGCTTTGAAAAGAGAAAATCTGTGCTATCTTGCACAATAACTACCTATTGTCCTCCGTAGATCATTAATGCGAGTCCAAACACAAAACTGTTGATTTATACGAGGGAAAAAGACCCGTATTTAAGTAGGACGGGAATGGGTCTTGAGAACACGCTTCAACATTTCAATTGCGATATGGCTGAAAATTACTTCAACATACGCTTTTACAAAAAATAGGTGCTGTCTAAATGGAGGACAAAGTAGTGCTTTTTATGGCAGAAAAAAACTGGAGCAATCCATTGAAGGTTGTTTCATTCTAAGTAATGCGACCCCCGTCCAGCGAGGACAATGGAGGCATCAGAAATTCTCCGTCCCTAACACAAAAGCGTGTCGAGGGGATGGGGCGTTTGCTCCACAATGCGGTCGTAAAAAATGAGGGCCAACGCGACATCTTTGTTCCCACTGATGGCTCGTGGGTCGGAGTTGGCCATTAAACCGGCCTTTAAATGGCGTTGCCTCCCAATGAATGCTTGTGGTCATTGCTGTGTGGATGTCCAGTGTGTCCCCCATTCATGCATTCCGGAATTCGGTGCGACATGAAAGAACCGACTGACGACCGGATACTTAACCGTATTTACCCAGGCTTATAGAAATAGAAGCGATGTTTTACGAATGTCTGCCATTCAACGCCTGAGCTCTGCTGGCATTTACTTTGAGGGAAATCTGCTTATTGTATCATGACTTGTTTTTTGATTATAGAATATTCTTTGTGATTTCTCATTTATGTTTTGGCATTGACAATGTTTCTCCACTTTGTCCGAATTGACTGACGTTTAATTATTATCTTATCAAGTAGTCGGTTCCAGATGCCTTGGCATATGGCTTATCAAAACAGATTTGCAGGCAGTATTTTGCTTTACTGGTTCTACGTTTATCTAGTAATAGTTAAGAAAATTCTAGTATTAAGTATGCTCTAAGAGTTTTACATTCTGGGCGACTTATTATTTTCTGGATGCCGCTAAAATTTACCACGTGTTGAAATGCATTAACTCCCTATTAACCTTTTTCTTGTGTCTGAAGATCTTGCCGCATTAAAAAAGCGCTCCGTTCTTTAACTAGGTTTCATGCCTATGAGTATTGAGACTGAAGTCTTTATCGCACTCTTGAAATCTACCTGAAAATTAATGTCGGATTTTATTTAATGAAAAAATGAAAGCGGTTGGAACCTTGATCAACTTATTTCCCAATTCATCACAACAAAGTGGTTGGAGAACTTTTAACTCACCGCCTCTGATGACATCGCCATTTTCATCCAGATCCGTAGCGTTTATTGAGCTGCATTTTGAGGTTCTTCCTCCCTCCATTTCCCTCGCCTCCTGAGCCTCCGCTTCGGCCGCCACCTCCTCCTCCAACTTGGAGATCTCAAGGGCTTCGCAGTCTAGAGTGAGATGGCTGTCGTCGTCGAGGTAGATGGGGATGGAAGGGAGGGCTTCACCGCGTCGGAGGCAGTTGTGGATGGCCACACCAAGGCAGGCGATAGCGAGGATGACACCCACGGTGAGGCAGTTGCGACAGCGTGTCCACACGCCTACTATAGTGAGTGCAAGGGCCGCGAGGAAGCCTAGCCAAAGGCCAGCAAAGATGAGGCACTTCAGCGCTCGGTGGCAGCCTCTCGCTTGCTCCGCGCTTACAGAGGAGCCCTCGGCGCTCTCCTCCCCCACCTTGTTCGTTTTCTTACCGACCGTGAACAATGTGTTGGACAAGGGACGCAGACTCCTATGCGCTACATGTGACAACTTCTTTGCCCCTCTGGCTATTGGTGAGGTCAGGGTTTTTCCTGTGATCTAGGGCGCTCTCTTCAATGCCTCAGCCTGAAAAAGGTCACCGTTCATCGTCAAAAGTCATGACTTGTTACGTGTGTTGCGTGATGGAAGTGGATTTGGTTTTCTGACGGCTGAGTTGGAAAGGGTGTTTTCAATTAAATAAATAAATAGGTCAAAATTGGTGGTACAAATTAGTAATTTGGTGAACTATTGAGTGTGCATGTTGCATTTCTGGTTTGCGGTTTGAGGAAGTACGTGGCGAATGCTGGTTGTAGGAGGGCAACTCACGCTGCCGGCTTTTAGTGGAATACTAAAGCCACAACCACGACATCAATCACCAACCTAGTTGAATCCTAACACCCAATCACATTCTGTCAGCCGCTCTTTAACTAGACAGGCGAATTCACTTAAATCCCCCTGGGATTTCTTCTACCCTGCGCTCTTATGCGTAGCTGTTGCAGCACTGAAAGCTGCATGAGAACTGTAAGTGGTCCTGCCCCCATAAAAAACATTCTAGACAAGAGCTTGTCGAACTGAAGACAGGAGCATCTTGCTCACAGACAAAACAGCCATTTCTTACACTGTCACCTAAGTTTATTGCTTTTCAGTTGCCTTCAACGCCTCTGAGTAAATTTGTTAAACATGAAATCCCTCTCGTGAGTTCGCTTTCACACAGAAATGTTGAGTGCCGGTAGTTGGGTGAGTTCCAAGCATACACCGGGCCTGTCACATTCATCATGTGCTGCGCACCCAAACAACAACTGGCAACCCCGGAGGGGCCAGTGTTAAAAGCACCACTATTTAAAACATGCAACGGCGAAAGGGTAAAAAAGCTGCCTGCGATAACATCCTCTCTGAATCAGTGCGCTGCTGGATTTTAACGGGTAATATGCATTTGAAGCAAGCCTGGTGATACTGTGACAACGCTCCCGTCATAGCCAACTAGTGGGCCCACAGTCATGCAGCTGTCACCGCTACCAGTCGCTTGAAATTAGGTGTGGTGACTTCTTAGTGTTGTGGTTTAAAAAAATAGGCAAACCCGGCGCCGTCTTTTAATATTTGTTTCAGAATGGAAAATAAAAATGAAATAAGATGGGAAGATTGTTCAACTGTACTTGAGTGGCAATTTCTCTCACTAGTTCTTGATTCTTGGTGATGACCAATGCCTTTCATGGCTGTACTGCAATTATTCTCCAAAGAGTGGGAACTTTGCATGTCTGGAACTGCAATAAACCCCCTAATAAATTCTTTTTTTAACAAACTAAAAATGTGTGTTGTTCATAAACAAAAATTAAGGCTGCACGGATTCTTGAACTCAATTCACAAGCAACCGTGCTAAATAAAGAGCTTTGCCGGTAATCACCGGCTTAGCATTGTTAGAGGGGGTTTTACTAAAGTCTGTGCAATAAAGCATCTGCACGACCTAGAAATACGAAAAGGGCACTTTTACAGGAACGGTAAGGGAATAAGTTAGCAGGTCACGTGCTCGTGCCTTGGCAGGCTAAGGCATACTTCAGTGAGTTCTGCGGTTATGCGCGCTCGCCCTAAATTTCCTTCTTTAATGGAGTTAAAGCAAGAATTTTCTATTTTTGTTTAGTCCATTGGAAACCATTTAACTTTAAGTGTCCTCGCTAACTTGAATCCTCCTAACTTTAGAAATAAGCACTGTTTTAAAGGCATGCGAATAAAAGGAGGGAAAATGAACAGGAGTGTTTCAGAACTGATAGACGGGTGTCATACCTATTCGAGTGCGTCAGAGTTCTGAGCCGAGGACGAAGCCATGTTCTGCAAGCATGCCGGCGGAGGGGAGTGAATATAGAGTGGACATGACGGTGCAATAGCGGAATTGGAGGGTGAGTGCATGCGTGCGTGCGTGCGTGCGCATGTACGTGCACAAGTCCGGATGGCGGAGACGGGTTAGTGCAAGTCCGCGACGCGAGCGTTGCACGCCCCGGCCAAGGCGAGTAAGCGACCTTATGCGTGCGTGCGTGTCCATGCGTGCCCACACGTCCGCACTGCATCTCGGGCACGTGAGCGCCTCGGCGTCCACCCCGCCTGCTTTGACTGCAGCAAGCCTGTCTCCTAACCTCGGGCGTTGAGCTGAAATGGACTAATTTTTGGCCATATTTTTTTTCCGCAATATTTTTATGAAACAAGTCTTTGTTGCGATGACGTCAACCATCATTAGTGTAATCAACGCAACGTTAAACACTCAAAATAGTTATTTTTCCTTTCTTGAGACATATAATCGCTAGCAGACTCTTTAGCTATGTGGATTGCAACTGAAGCGCTTGTGAGCAGTTTTATTTTTCATATAGATGGCATAACCAGTAGTTTAAACCTAATTTAACATGAGCACTACCAATGTCACGAATACGTGACGACCCAGTTTTCTTATCTGAAGCCCCATATCAGGCATATGTGAATTACTTATTTAAGAAAAGAATTATTTAGATTAGGAAGAGACATTCAGCCTATTAATTATTAGTGCAGCATTAGAACAAGTAACCATAATCTGTGGTAATCGTTTTTATTCTGAAACCACAGTACCAAAATGGGTCTATGCCTTTCTTGAGAGACCTGATAAAATAACTACACGTCAATATTATATAAAATAGATGAGTCAAAATATCACTACTCTCGTAAGTAGAGGGAACTTTGTGCTAACCTTTCACTGGTATCAGGTAATTTATAGTGAATATATGTATGTACAGGAAATTGAAAATTCCAAATGGCAATGCACATTGCTCATATTTGCTATCATTTCGCTTGTAGATGTTTTTGTATGTAAAATTAACGCCCAGTAAGCTCATTCCACTAAATCTCCCAATTTCACCTCCGCAATTTGTGTAGGTTTATTCACATATGGAATTGTTTCTTTATGCATATGCATTTTTTCCACTAATATCAAAGTTAGTCTATTCAAGGGAGAAAGTGCAGCCATTACAGCTAAAACTTAGTAGAGCATTTTCAGCCTTTACATAAGTGTCAATAATTGTAGCTCTTCAAGTCTTCCCTGATGCTGCGATAAACCACATCAGCATGGAAAGACACATATTACTCAAATGCGGGCGACTGTCATCATGGTCCACCGGAGAGAGGGAAGACGACCTGAGAAGACTAAATCACAAATGCTGACCCCTTTATGGAACTGCCATTTTTCTTAAACATTTTTTTGATTTTAGAACGGACTAATCCAAATAAATTATTAAATGCTTAAGTGGGACCTATTGGTTTTCTTCGTCGTAAAAGTTATTCTGTTCACAAGGTTTTCGGGCTCAACTTCGGCTACCATTAATCTCGAAGTCTGCATGCCCTGGTAAAATCGGAGTTGCAACGCTTCCTCGTTTGATAAATTAGTCTTTCAAGCCACAAGTAGGTAAGCACAAAGCCCAAGTGCTGTCGGTTTGTCTTTGTGAAGGTCAGTCCTTGACTTTGGAAGCGCAGTTTGAAGGTAGGTCTTCTACCAACCTTGCGATAATAAAACTAGTTGACTATTAACTTCGTGGTGGTTATCCACTCTTACTGCGATCTGGTATTTTGCCTTCGACATTACAGGATGAGAGAGCAGCAGAAAATTGAAGATACAGGGATAGATGACCATATTAAACATGAGAACCACAACTATCCCGTTGAGCTATTAATGCGCTATAGAGCATAAACGGAACTGACAAGGGATGGATGTTTTCGTTACTCTTCATTTCAATTCCATTAATCTGACAGAAATTTTATTGAGCATTAAATTTTCTGTTAGAGCAAAAATGGGCGGTGTAAAGAGCGTGTTCATTAAGGTAAAAAAATTCATCCAGCCACGCTTCAATCGTCCCGTTGATCAGATTGAAGGGCTTAAAAATCCTCATAAGAAGTCACGATGCAGGGCTTATCAGATTATGACTGCTTTCCTTCCTCCCTTGCTCCCTTCTCTCCTTCCTCTTTCCCTCTATTTGGGCTTGCTCTTAGAAATTTACGCAACCACAATTAAGTGGCTCTCGTCTATTAAAGCACCATCTTACGCAAAATTTAGAATATGCGATGTTAATAGCTATTTGGCAAATTTATTTATTTTCTCCAAAAGTAGCTCTCCAGTGTACTCTACATTTGTTCCGCCCTACTTCTACAATAAAAGTCAGGCCTTTTGCTAACTTGTAGATTTATTCAGCCAAAAAAAGTACATTTTCCATGTATATGCATGCATAACACCAAAGCCATCCATCTTCTACCATCGCTACATCCTTTACCGAAATCTTAGTGCTTAATCCATTCCATTTCATACACCATCCGACATTCATGGCTAGGTTAATGGTAGGTAAAAACAGCAAGTCACTCCCTTCCATGCCATTAAAGTGTCAAGATGCCCACAGGCATACTAAATTTTTTGCATGATCTTTGTGCCCATTCATGCAGGCAGTTGGATTTTGCTGACTACCATTTTCCGGGTCCTATAATAGCCATTGTCGAGTGGATAACTGCAGTGCTGTTAACCTGTTACTTGGATTTACACTTCAAGTCTTAGTAAGGTTAGGGATTTATGGCTTTGCATGAATCATCCAAATACTAGTCCTACAATTTTGACTCCTCAGAATTGGAAACAGAAGCGTCATTGCGGTTCCATGACAGTGAGCTGAGCCTGGAGCAGGAGGTCAAGTGATCCAGGGTCAATGGATTGTGTTTGCATGAATTTGTACACCATGTGTTTTACCAACCACTCAGTTTCATCCGCTTTGTAGAGGCAAATAACCTCTCCTTCAACTTATGTTATCGAAGTCTATATGTTACTCTTTCATTAATTTGAGGATTTAATAAATCCATTTCAAGCAGTTGGAGTTGTGGGCTAAGTTCCCGGACCGAAATGGTCAAATCCACGTATATCTACATTTTCGGCGGAAATAAATTTGGTTTTGAGCTCAAGTTGATTTTTTACGTTGTAATCCTAAGAAATCTGCGAAAAAGCCATCCAAAAAACTTGCATGGTCACTTTTGAATACGAAAACAAATAGGAATTTTTAAATTAATTCTCCATATAGCAGTCATTTTCATTTGAGTATGTTTCGATGAGATTATGAGATTTCACCGAAGCGTGGAAGTTTATTACTGAATAAATTTAGTGGCGTTAATCACATTTCATTCATTACCTACACCTACAACACGTTGGTGGATATTTGAAGTACAAATTCGCTCTGCTGTTTGTGATATTTCACACCCACAGAGGGCTCAATGTTAACTGAACGAGAGCGAAGGGCCATTCGGACTGTGAATTATGTATAAAGTGCGGTGTCTATAAGCAATGAGATGAGTCGTTAATGCTGGCACCTATCCCTATCACTTATTTATCCTTCTTTGGATTAAAAGATGACTGACAAATAAACCTTGTTTAACTCCCTAGTTTTCCTCACCTGTTTTGAGACGTGTAATAGCACTACAACTCCTATCCCTCAGACTGGTTAGGAATTGCGACCATTTCATACAATTTTCCTTCCAATTTCCGAAAACTATACTTGGACGTAATTTAGATAGTGCCAAAGTGTTTGTGAAGAATTGGTCTGCCACCTTTCTTGGTCACCATGCCTACTACTGACTTGCAGACGCGAACTTCTTTGTTTCATTGACACAATGGCATGGTCTGTGAGAGCTCAAGAGGCTGCGGTAGGCATACGTCTGAATTTCATGTCTGTAATTATGCCTTAACAGAGCAAGTGTCCGGTTGATGACTGGAAGCAGGTTATATATACAAATTATATTGAAGTTAAAATGTGAATAAAAAAGCACCTGAACAATCATGGCTGCAATTACAGTGTTGCGCCGGTCGGAGCCACCTTCAAGGAGGCCTTTTCCCTGTTCAGTTGATTTTAGCTAGTTTCGCTCTCAGCATTTGATTAGAAGCCGCAAAATCCTGCTGCATTAAATTGGGTAGTCAGCTTTTTATGGAACGACATTTTCGTTGAAAACATCAAGTTAATTAAGCAGACAATTGTGATGAAAATTTAATCATTCTATCAAAGTACCAAAATGCAATTTTCATCCTCATATTTGATCTAGTATTTGTGCCTCACTTTTACGTCATGCACACAGCCATGCCACACTGCATTGGCTGTCATGGGGGTCGATGGCAGGGAGACCGAGAAAGCCCGTGTCATGCCAAAATGTGGTTTCAATGACTCACCGACCACACTATTTATTGCCAGTAAGGACAGTGTTACAAATTGATGAATGATAATGATGTACGATGATGACGATGATGATGTATTAACTGCCAAGTTTTCTGGTCTGTCCTGAAAGAAGTACTGCCCAAAATGTTAAATGTTTATTAATTCTCCAGCCTGTAAAAAAATCTCAAACTTGAGACAATTTGAATTAAGAGGCAGCCGAAATTTTAGAAATGGTAAACTGACTGCTTCTCACCCACCAAGGGCGAAGTTGGGCGACGTCACGATTCCCTCGTCGAAATTATTTCAGTAAAGGATTTACCATTAAAAACCGGTTTCACCCCTTCTCAGGAGAGTCATGTTCGCAAAATCACACACTAAATGCAATGAAAAGACCTTGTCACGTGCCCATCAAAGTCAACACTGTCATCATATGAAATGTGGTCTATGTGGTCACGTCTATGTTAGAAATTATTTTGATTCACGACAGTTAATAGATGTGGATTCTGCCTGTTCATATCAGCTTTGCAAAAATAGGTGCAACCGGTCTCAAGTTCGCTTTACAGAGTCTCGTTCAAACATTTCCCTCCTCTCCTCTCTACGTCCCACTTTTACTCTCCCCCTCGCTCCGGTCGTCTCGTTCAGCTGCTTAGTGCCGCGGAAATGGTGTTGGGTTCCTCATAAAGAAAGTCACATAATGTTCTCTTCATTTTGTCCATTTTATGAGATAATTTGGCCATCACGAAACCAAGTAAATGTGCGCAACAAGTTAAAGTGTAATGAGTCTTTTCGCTAAGATTCTCATTCACGTTGGAAGTCTGTTTGCAACTCTTTCCATAGAAGAATTGTGATAGTACCTAGACGGATCTGCTGGAGGATTATTTTGCAAGAATAAGCATTTTTACCTGATTTTAATGCAATCACTTTATTTGACTTTCTACAATGGACATCTCACAGACAGTTTCCCTGTACTATGCGGGGTGGTCGCAACTTCTACAAGTTCCGAATTGACCATGGTAACCAAAATCCCGGTTGTGACGTCTGTTTGGCCGAATTCCATTAATCACTGTGAGGCATTCAGAGTCTAAGCCTTAAATCCAACCTTAAGATTGGAAGGTTTGGAATAATACTTCAAAGCTAACCACGTTGTGTTCAACCGTGCACCCACACATCCATCCTCATGTGCATATTTGTAAGTGTAAATACAATGTTTGGGTAGAATTTCTGTGTCCTGTAACAGTAAAATACACACCTTTTAACCAATTTCGAATTATTTTTTAAAAATTTGTTTTACAAAGTACGACTTTGTTTCAACTTAGGTGAAGCTGTAAAATATTTCCTCTCCCACTGTTGAGATTATTATGCCATTATCGTACAATAATTGACAATGAAACAGGACATCGTAAAGTACATCCTCGCACCAACCTCTGCCATCTCTTGACGTTGACTTCCGCTGAACCGCACGAGGTTGACATTCCACTAAGCACTAGAATGCAGGCATATCAGTGCCATCCACGAGCCGAAACGGACTAATTGCATCGCGTGAGTTGTCCCACTAAAGGGGGATGGGAACGGGCGGAGCAGGAAATGAGGGCGGTGCAGGCAAAACAATGCCTAATCGTGGTTACCATGACGAGGGACGAGGAGGTTGAAGTGGTGCCTTGGGAGAAGGAGGTTAAGTGCTGACAAATGTTTCCTCACGCTGTCAAGCCCATTGATCATCCCTTCACTCCGCCCTGTTTGCACGGATCGGACTGCTTGGCCTCGCTATTTTTATGCCGAGAAGGTTAATTAGGGAACTATAAAATTTCATGACCACCTTTTTGTCTACTGTAACATTTCCCTTATCCATACAATTCAGATACTTGAATCCGCTTTTAAACTTTATGCTACTGTTTATGCAAAGGCAAGGGCAATTCATAAGTATTGTTTTAATTATTTTTCAACATTGAACTTGCTTAAATGAAAAATAAACGTATTTTATTTATAATTATGTTAGTTGCATTTTGTATAAGAAGTTGTGCTTATGTGGCACTTTGATTGCTGATTTAACCCTCGGTTTTGGTAACCGGCTGCTTAGAACTCCGTCACTGCTTGGCCACTGAGCCATTTTAGTAATCCCCGATCCTTCTTTGCGTCGACAATACATGTTCAGCTTGAATGTTGTCTCTTTTCGTCTTCAGATAAGTCTTCATCGTGTGCGCTCCATTTGTTTGTTCTTAAACAAACAAGTTGATGAAATACGGTTGGGACAACCATCACATTATCCTCTCTTTTATTTGAATTTTCAAACTGTCTAATCTAATTCGTCTTACCTTACATTTTTACTATCTTTATTTTTAACTGTTTAAGCTATTTTTAGAGTTTTTCCATAATGAACCATTACTAGGACATTTTTACCCGAACGCCCCACCATGTTGCCCAGGCAACCTGTTTGGGGATGCGATACTGCACGTTCACGTGCAACACTCCAGTTTACCCAACTCCTCGATTTTTCGGAAACAAAAATTAGTGCTCAAGGCAGCTTGTGGCTTTCTTTACCTGTGCAAAAAAATTTTCAACTTCGTTTAAGTGGCAAACCTTACATAAATTTTAAGCCTACATTCTGTATAAATGCGTTAAACTACACAGCCACTTCAGTCCCATCAGGTTGTACTCCCGCCGGAAGGCCATGGGCGCAGGTCCTCAACCCGCCTCTACGTCCGTGGATGCGCGTTCTGCCGTGCTAATTTGACTTACTTCGAATTTGGGGAAGAATGGATCTAAAACGATGTTTTGTGATATAAAATTTTGTTCAAGGAATGTAGGGTCATTATTTAATTTAGCTTATATTTAAAACTTGAGGGTAATCTCTGTCCATTGTCGCACAATTAACCACGACCGATCCATTGTTCTGCCAGATGCAAATTGCAACCGAAGGTTAGCATTTGCTGAAGCCGCTGGTCGGTCTATTTCAACATCTATAAAATGCAGATAAATTTCATAAACCCAGTTTATTCGACTTCCTTCCAATTCATTCTTTAGTGACATCCATCTGGCATGCTAAAAAGGATAGTATGTTACTGTTTGCTCGCATCTTCCGTTTGTAACTTGTGGAAGTGCCTTTCACTCCCCATAATTATGCATGATTTGTAATTAACTTGGCCTTTGCCTTATTTAATAGAATCCTAAGGTTGCGTTCACAATTAGTGACACATATTTTATTATTGATGTTAATCCTAATCTTCCTTTTGCATGACCACGAAAAAAAAGTAATTCGTGACTAATTGATAGGTGGAAACAGCAGACTTTGATTCTGTACAGTGGAGCGTTGCAAATCTTCTCATGCTAAAGGTCACCAATCTGGAATACTGACCAAACAATGAAAGAGCAATCGCTATTCCAACGGACACTGCTATGCGACATGGTTGCTACCCTTTGTTACCTGCGTTGAGTTACTTTAGATTGTGTATTTAATTGCATGTTTTGGTTACGAGGGCGCTGAAGGGCACGGCCTCCCTCTGTACGTCGATGGGACGTATTCTGATCCAGTCCCCCTTTGCCTCCAGGGAAGTCGTGGGGCGTTGCGTAAAAAGCTCTTTCCATTAGAGTGTGTCTGAAAGTTTTCAGTGAAATAAATCAACAGTATGTTAGCTCAAATACTTATTTAAACACAGCACTCATGCTTTTGGATGTCAAAGTACAAGAACTGTAAACTTTTTACTTAATAATTGGATAAGGGTAAGTGAGGGGTTTCCGGCATTCCTTGTAACTGTTGTGGTTCTTTTAGTGCTCGGTAACCTCCTGTCAAATTTACACATATTTAAAGCCAATATTTTGTAAGTAAAGTTTTCCTCTCCAAGTAACTAAATAATCTCTTATTCAAGCATGGAAGCGTTTCCTGATTAGGTTATTAGCATACTGCTTTGGAAGTAATGTCGATACCTTGATCCCCATCCACACGGTTAGCTGAGTGATTCTGTTTTTGAGCAGTTCTAAATAAAAGACAATTTCCTAAAATTTAACAAACCTCTCATCAGGCTGTAAATTTTTTATGAATTCAGACTCTTACAGACTAGAGTATGTAACACTGGTTATTTTTTCAACCCTTCGTTTTTGCCTTCTAGGTCACTGAATGTTCCGTCCTTGAACTTCCGCTTGGTGGTATAGCCTCTGGGTCATGTCAGTAGCCCTCCAGCCCTTCTTTATGTCGTTAATACATATTCCCTCTGAGTATTCTGCCTCCTTTTGTCTTTCGAGAGGTCTCTATGTGCTACAATTAATTACTCCACAATTATTTGTCAACTAAATGGTAAACTTTAAGTGTCTCATTTGTAATGGCATATGATGGTGAGAAATATTTGTAAAATGTAAATTATGTGAATCAAAATATTATGTAATTCACAAATTGTTTGTGTAACTCGCGGTATTGGCAAATGGCTCTTTAGGGTCCCCGCCACGGTACCACCTCTATGTGGGTGGGATGACCTCCGGGTCATGCCGGTAGCCATCTAGGCCATATTCTACCCCAGCATTACGTCCTCTCGCGTGTTCAAAGAAGGTCCAGAGAGCTACAATTTAAGGCTCGAATGCTAAAAGCTGCTGGGGCATACGCGTTAATGGAGGGCATATTTTATTCACCGATCACAATGAAGATACATGGTTAATTACATCTATGCACCGGAGAAATGACCAGATAAGTTGTCTATAAAGAAGAGGACGAGACAAACAAAATGCGTTTTCTTAGTGTAGTCCAAAGGCACAATAAGTAATTTACACTGCTAAACTGTTCTAACTGCGGCTGTAGCCCATATTTATACAAAGCAATAAAGGCCTCACCAGATAGAGACCTGAATGCTAAAATCTAAATGGTATTGCAATCTTTTGCTGTTGGAAAGTTGATTAGCAGAAAAACATCAAATTGTAAGCCTACAGCAATACTCGTTTAACAATCTCAGTGAATTTTGTCACATATTTATAATAAATTTTTTAGACATTAATAGCAGGTTTAACACTTTACTGTTAAGAGAATGATTCACAATGAAAAATGTGAACTGGTTTTTTTTCCCGCAACAATGAAACGCCTTATCAGACAAAACCCATCACTTTGTCCAGTCAAGAAGGCTTCATATCCACCAGAAAACAATGTTAAATGTGCGCAAGTAAAAGAAAAGACTTCCAGCGAATTCGATGTAAGGCACCCCGGCCACCTTCACAGCCTGCAGGAAAACATTCCACCGCTGTTGATTGCTTATTCACTCTGTCTATTTTTAGGCAGAGTGAACAAACGAATTTTTTAGCTTAAAAATTAATCATACTTCGGGAAGTACTTAGACCTCTTTAACTTGGACCTTTTCCTGTGTATAAAAACACCAATCCAGGGAGAAATCGGTTGAGCAGGTAAATAAATAAGCAAATTCAATTTCCATTCATCATCGAGGAGTTGCCTTTTTGCAGACGACGGTGCGTGAGTTATGCGACAGGTAAACTGATTGCATGAGAGGAATTGCATTAAACCCAGCGCCTTTTTACGCACCCACCTTGAGCGTCTCGCCCAAATTGAAGCGGAATCCCAACCAGCGATATCAGGAAACTCTAGTCGTTAATTGACGACCACTTGCTGTGTCCCAATATGCTTCAGTCTGCCGAAAAATAACACCACACTCTATGCTTTGATCAAATGTATTTTGAATACCATTGTTTTTGAAACAAGAAATTAGAGTACAATAATTTTTCAAGTTAATTGCCCTCCACAAGGATTTTCCATCACAGCCATGGTCAATGTGTCTAGGGAAAACACATCTTAAAGAAATGGTCACCGTTCCTAATAAAACTCGCTTCGTTGGCCGGATTCAAAATATTTTATTGCCATTCAGAGATGCTTATCACTCCTTCCATCATTTCATAATAACAAAATCACATTTTTCCTAGACAACTTGACCAATTCATTAATCAATTGATCATTTTGATATAAATGTAATGGGTTACTTGTTTGTTTAACTCTCAGTTTTTCATTGGGCCACTTAGGGGCTCCGCCATTGCACGTCCGCTGGGCGGCCTGGCCCTTGGGCCGTGTCGGTAGCCCCAAGTCCTTCTGCACGTCGGCATTAGATGCTCTACCCGAGTGCCAGGTCTACTCTCGCCTTTGGGAAAGTCTCTGGAGTCGTCCACACTCTAATTCACTTTGGGTAACTTTTTGAGGTGACTCTGTTGAGAAACCTACGTTTTGAATTTTATGCTAGTTAACCCAAGAGATGGCGATGCAATCTGTGATGAGTTTACAACCTCATGTTGTACAACTTTCCTAAGTATGTCAATTGCCTGTGTTACATGTATAGAGCTAAATGCGGATAGCGTACTTTTGAGGGCAAAAATCATGGTAAGAATACGTTTGTTCACTCCGTAGATGGTCAAAAATGGATGTGTCAACAATAACTTTGAGGTGCTTAGTGACGCAGTCACCAAATTTTGCGGTTTCATGCGTTCCTCTGGCTGGTGTAAATACCACTATCTGGTTTCAGGTTTATTACAGCGCTGCCATTTCAGAAGATTTCGGTTTTAAATTTGGTTAGGGGACAAAAACAGTTTTAAACTTCATTTTTGAGAATTAAGCACTATGTTTTAGCCATTAGTATCGAGGATGGTTTAAATTACTAACTACATTTTCAAGCAAAATACTTCAACTAAGCACACATTTTCTCCAGTTGGTTCGTAATTTTCAAGTCAGGGCGATGATTTGCTTTTTAATTTTTGTTCCCCACATCACAATTATGAGGAATGACTAGCGTTAGACTTGAATTGCATCGCACAGCTTTTTGTTCACTTGCCATCTGCCTTGCTAATGCAAGACTTTCCGACACCTGAAATTCACCTATTTCATTCCCACTTTTCATCACTGCTTTGCCTTTTGTGTATTTTAGTTGGATTTACTCTTAAGTAATTAATCGGCGGTCATTCGAAGATTATTACTTAAAATTACCGTAAAATGAAACAAAAATGTAATGTCGGATTGCAAATGGTATACAGATAGGCGGTCAATCTTGTCAAACGATGAGATTGGTGACTAAAATACCCAAGTATTGAAAAAGGTTGATTATCATCAATTTTGATCACTTTATCAGCAAATTTGAGGCATGGCTTGATGAGCTAATACTGTTTTTTAAAATCACCTATCAGTTGACGTTAAACTCGCTTGGGGTCAAAGTGAAGTCAGTTCAAGCTGAGGATGGCATCGTTTCTACCAGAAGCATTACGGAAGCTGCATGGCGCCACAATCCATTTCTGTATTTGCATTCAGGTCAAAGTTAAAGTAGTCGCAGCATACCAAGTCGCAGATCAATTTCACTGGCCAGCGTCCAAATCCACCAAAATTTTGACAGAGTTGAGGAACAATGACAAGAGTTCTCTGTCTCTAACTTTGTAAAACTTATGTGTAATAAATGTAGTAAATGAAATACATCTAGGTGTCTAAATCCACAATTCCGTTCCATTCTGAAGCTCTTTATTGTCTAGTCATTAGGGCTATTCAAGATAATGACCATTTGAAACAGGCTTTCGCTACATCGAATTGCAATATCACATCAAAAAGCAGAAAGAATAATGAACCCTACATCAACACTAGTTCCAGTTGTTACAATCAAAAAATTTTTGTGCACGCGGATGATCCTGACCCTACCGAGGAGTAACGACTCGGCGTCTTTATTAACTGACGTGGATGCGTCAGAAAGGAATTACGACGCGCGTGCGCAGACCTTACAGCCGATCAGTGGTGACTTGGTCTGGGTCATCGGATTGTCTTAATTACGCTTATTTATAGTAGTGACTTGACCTTGATATTAAAGCCGGTGTCGGCGCATTTCAAGAGTATCTGACCTCGATCACAGCCAATCAGGAGGAAGTAAGTGAGAGGTAGCTTTCAAAGTGCTCACGAAAATGGGCACTTCTAGGATTTCGAACAAGTACTTTTTCCCGGGATTGCAGGTATCCTTTGTGATACTATTCACATATGAGATCACCAATACTATATGCTATTTGCTACGCATCGTGCAATCTTCCCATAGCATTTTCCTGCAAAAATTCCAACTTCCGCAGGACATGCAATGGCCCATTGGTCGCAAAAAATCTGCAATCACCACATTTGAGGAGAGCGACAGCTCTTCTACTTAAACATGGCACAATATGGGCTAATTAAGGCATTCAACGTAAACATCGTCGGCATACCCGATAAAAATACACCACAATTTTCCCGTTTGAATAAAGGAAACCTAAAATAGCAGACGACCTGATTTCAGAATGTACCCAAGTGTACGATCACTAGCTGAGAAGACGAAATAAATTACTTCAGCAGTGTAAGGCTCTTGCCAGGCGTTAACTTAAGTGATAGAGATGTATTTGTTCATTATGCCATTCGATAATGGCACAAAACCCCCAAATTTCAAAGCAAATATTCTTTCTTTGAATTGAAGATGCAAAGACGCACCAACTCATAAAACACTTCTCTCGATAGCTATCCCTTAGGCGGCATTATGAGAGTATCGGAACCTCACTGATGGGGGATCCACATGGCTGACCTGATTTCAATGAACCTGTGCTATCAATGTTTGTGCGCTTATTTGATGACGCTGTTCAAAGGCGAGCGGCGAGTTTATGTCTTAGGCTAGGTAATTTCCCTTGGTCTGGGCTACATTAGCAAGTGTAGCTGAAATTCGGGACAAGCAGAATGATGCTGACAGTACTGAAGTAGATGTTTACGGAGATACCTCCGAGTAGCTAATTCGTTTGCTTCTACGGCCTGAAACTAAATCCTTTTCGCATCGAGAGATTTCAAAAGTGTGCGTGTGTGTGGAGAGACTGCCATTTGTACCAATCGTTTTGAATGTAACGCGATGGTCAGGTAAGCTTATTGAGAACAGCTTTGTTGAAAAACACAGGAAAACGGGAGCTTTCCTCCACATCAATGATTCGATATACTTTAAGAAATGTAAGCTAAATGTGAGTTCGGTAATTAGAAAAGTACATTAATTCAATTTATCAACTTATTAGCGGTAAAAAAGTGGAACAAGCATGCGAAGAAACAAAGCACTTAGAAGTAAAGCCTGGAAATTGAGATAAAAATACCTCAGTACAAGCATAAATCTTATCAACATAGCGTACCATACAGACCTATCTGTGGCCCTCATCGACTTATCCTTGCAACAGATGATGGAGTGGAAACCCACAATTTTTACCCTTAGCCAGCAAATCATGGAAAAGTAAATGAAGCACTTAACAAATGTCAAAAACACCAAATAGATTAGCAAGCCCTGGTGGTGGAAATCCCGTGTTAGGACTGTAAATAGAGGGACTGCTTTCCGTATTTTGTGCTTCGTATCCACCCTTAAATGGATGTGAATTAGCTCCAAATAAACATTTAAATAAAGTAAACTCTTCTTCGAAAGCACTACTTCACCCCATCCTTCATCGCATCGCGCACAACTTTTATTCACGTTATGTCACAATGTCGGAGAATAGGCGTAGAAATAATAGGTGATTTCTGGTTCCTTTTGTAAATAACAAAAAATATAGGCCAATAGAGGGCGCCACCATCAGGGAATGCACAAATCGCTCGCCATTAAGCATCTACTTGACATAAAGTCCCGACGGATTTCCGGCAATTCCGGTCATGTAAAGTCGCATTTTAGTGGATTTTAACACATAACGTCCCTTCAATCACTTTGTCGCAAACATGGAGTCCTTACTACCGACAATCACACATTGCCTCGGCTCCCAGCGACAGATATAATCGACGAGTGCTTGTCCAGCAGCTGTAAGGAAACACTTTGTCTAATAGCCTAGCCTTTAAGGCCTTGCATCAAATGGGACTGCATTTGAAGAGGGAATGGTTTTGAATGAGACACTTCATTTCGTCGCAGCAATTAATGTACCCTTGCTGACGGAAATCATCGAAATGACTAGGTTATTCACCACACCTCACGAGTTCCATCAAAGCGAATAAGGTAAAGCTATCTCTTAAAGCAGAGACTCTTTGATTCCCCCTCTATTTTACCAAATTCCTGAATGTAGCAATAAATTGAACATGAATATTAATGCCTACTGCCATTTGATACGAAACTGTGAAAACAGCGAAGGATCTCCATCAGTGATAGAATTGAATATCCGGTGATTCCTACCCCACCATATCAGGACTAACACATATGGAACTGTTGTCAATTAGTAAAATACAGACGATTCCATCACTCTTGCATAATGTGTAGTTGCAGCGCAGTCCCCATAAGACTAAAATTATGCTACTTACAGGACGACAGTAAACACTGTTGGCGTCACTGGCCACCATGAACGCACAAACAAGAGCTGGAATCAAATATTATTAATTTACCTCCGAGATGCAAAAATTAGAGGCCCGTCACTGTTTTTCCTTGACAATGCGCCCACTTTGGTCATACTTGAAAAATCCGTAACCGCACTTTTTGCCGAATCGGCCGTGGGCGACAAATTTGCGCACAGTGGCGTTGAGTCGGAAGGCACGCTCCTCGGGATGCCGCTCTGCCCAGTGGACGAGAATGTGCAGGAGGGTGTCCAACCCCACGTGGTCAGCCAACTCGAAGGGACCCATTGGGTGGCCAGCACCAAGGCGCATTGCCGTCTCGATGTCGTCAAGGGAGGCGTCGCAACGCTCCCACATCTCTATCGCCTCGAGGAGGTAGGGCACCAAAAGGCGATTCACTATGAAGCCTGGTGTGTCTTTGCAATGAATCACCGTCTTACCCAGGGACTCTGCGAATGCTACTAGCGTCTGCGGACAGGGCAGAAAGGATTCAGTTCATACAAACGCGAAAACTGCTCTTTCATGAAATCGTAAAGAGAACTACAGGAGCAGTGCTGATGCTGTTCAAAAATGATATTACAAAGTCTCGTCTTAATGACAAGGAAAATTAAGAATCAGTGTCACTAGAATTCAATGTAAGATCGTATCTGATAGCTTATGAAGCCAAAATGATAATCGCATAAAAATTTTTCCCACCTAGAAATTACGTTCCAACAATTTTATCAAAATCACAACTTGCAAAAAACGAACACATTTCACGGAAATTTCGAAATGCCATAACACCAAAGTACTAGATACCTGTACATTGTCAAAACCAGCTATCCAGTAAATTACTACTGAATAATTGGGCAAAAAAGAAAGCGAATTACAAATCTTTTAGAGGCTGATGTGTTTACAACAGATTGTGTATTGGAACCATGAAAAGGGGGAAACGAAGCCTTCACGACACAACTAATATGTATACACATAATTCACTACATCTCTTCATGTTGGAAATAGTGTGGGTTCATTTGCGTAAGACGGCTTCCGCTGTCTAATCACAAAAGCAGAATTCGTCGTAGTCAAATAATCAACGTGCGAAGACGGAACCGAAGTAGCTGAGATTTCCTAAGGCAGATCTACCGCAAAATTATCACGTTAATAAATCCTTTACAGTAAATAGAACACTAAACGTCCCGATAAACTTAAGAAACACCATCCCTCCAAGTAATACACACCTTCAGAGTGTCCTCAGATGTGTGTCTGCACCTAGTAATCTCCACCAATTTCATCACTCTTACGGGATTAAAAAAGTGCAGTCCACCGAAGGACTCCTTCCTTGAAAGCACCTCGGCTATTTCGTTGACTGATAAGGCAGAAGTGTTCGATGCAAGCACACAGGAATTTGGTGCTAGGCGTTCCACTGATCTAAACATTGAAACGAACCCAATGATTTCAATGCTTGCAAGAAAATTTAGCATTACTATGACCCACTGGAAAAGACTGCGTTTAATCTGAAGATCTTCAGTAACTGCTTCGACAACCAACTGAGAATCCGAAACAGCAGTGGTAATGTCAGTAGTAAATTTTATCCTGGCCATTGCTGAATCAGCAAAACCTCCTGATTTATTTTTCGCTAATTTACATAAAACCCCGGAAACACGACCCTTTGATTGTTTGAGGCGATCATCACTCGAGGATAACACTTTGACATTGTACCCAGCACCGGCTGAAACGGCAGCAATACCCGAACCCATCAAGCCGCAGCCAATAACGGCTACATTGCTTACGAATCTTGTTAGATTACAGTTACCACACGAGACCTTAGATCGAAGCATAAACACAAGCCGCCAATAAGCCAAATAACCACTAACCGCCTGAGGCAAACAATTGCGTTTTGAGAATAACAATATAAACAAATAGTAAACAAATAAGGATTTAAAAGAACCAGGCTTATTTTTCAAGGATGTGAAAAATAAAAATTTATGATAAACTAGTTACATTTTTATGCACCCTAATGACCTTTCAACCTTGACTCTCCAATGAAAGCTAACTCTCAGCCTCATTTGTCCCCGTCAGGTACTCGTTGCGTGTGTTCGTATTTGCGTATAATTACTTGTCGTTACGTTTATGTATTCTTCGATTTTCTGATAGATGGACTTTAAGGTATTCATTTGATTTCAAACTAGTATTCGATGCACGAGGAAGCATAGTGGAAACTGCGCTTGAGCTCTACCCATACAGATGTACTAATCCAAGTATCTGTACACTGCCTGCTCAATTTAAGCTGATGCCTCCTCCGTTCTAGATGGCAAGATGTACTGTAGTTGGTGGTGGCTTATCAGGCCTTTCAACGGCATATTTGCTGTCGCGTTTGCCACAGAGTCAAGTTAGCCATGTCTTTGTTTACGAAGCAAATAAACACTTCGGTGGTTGCTTTCTAACCGGTCGAAACCCCCGTACTGGGGCTTTGCATGACCTTGGTCCACACAGTGCCCGCATTGCTGCGCCCTCATCAAGTCCTCTCCTGCGCATGGTCTCCAGTCTCGGATTCACTTGCGGCGAAGTTTTCTGGCTGCCCCCATTAAAACGCTATATCTACGCCGCTGGGGCACTTAGACCAATCAGCCTCTTCTCACTTAAGACCAAACCTCCGTTCACGCGTTCACACCTGGCTTTGTTCACTCGTCGGGCTTTAACTAAGGGCCCGGGTCCTCTCAAAGGCGATATCTCCGTTGATGAATATCTTAGGACTCGCTTTGACGATGAATTCGCAGAATATCTAGGAAGTGCACTAATGCGCGGTGTCTGTGGTGTTGATTCTAAACTAGTTAGTGCCTCAGCCTTTCTGAATCATGTGAGTTTCTCCTTGGTTTCATAACAAGGCTTTGTATTTAAATGTGTTAAACTCTGCATATGTCCGCAGTTGATTCAATGGGAAAAAGAAGCTCCGAATGTAGTGATTGGAGCTGCCAAGAATATAGTAATGGGTAAAGTACGCTCTCTATATCCTACCAAGAGGAATGATGTTTCACTTCATACTATCGACGCTCTTCTACCACCACTGAGTGAAAACATTGCTCCACCCTCGAATGCGAATGTTCTCAGCTTCGCTGGTGGAATGCAAGTTCTCACAAATCGTCTTGCTAAGACGCTAGGCGAACAACCCAACGTGACACTCCGAAAGGGAGCCTGCGTTCGCTCACTCTGCCACCGAGACAAGCAGTATCAGGCAAGCTTCATTTAATCTTTTTGATCATGGCCATTTCTAGCTAGATTTGGTTGAGAGTGGACTCGTGTCATCTTACCAAGTGAAAGCTGATGCCGTCTTCATCTGCACGCCTGCCCAACAAATGGGTTTACTTCTGGAAAGGAAAACCTTTATCCCACCCAATATAACAAAACTGTTGAGTCCTCAAATCTTCTCAGCCGCTAATGTCGCCGTTGTGGCTTTGGAATTCGAGATTCCCAATGTACGGCTTCCTCAGGGATTCGGGCACTTACTGCCATTGTGTGAGGATGACACTGTTATGGGTGTTATCTATGATAGTTGCTCTTCTCCGTTAATGGATGGGAAGATCTTGAAGAATGCAACACAGAGAACTACCCGTTTTACAGTTATGCTCGCCCCACGAGCTGCTTGGTTGAAAGCCACTGCCAATGAGACTTCTTTCAACATTGAACATAGTCTGCGTAATGAAATGATTAAGATTGGCATCAATGCCTTGAGAAAACACCTTAGTTTACAGGTGAAGGAGCCGTGCTTCGCACATGTGGGCATATGGGCCAATGCCATTCCCACCTATCCGGTGGGTCACTTGGAGAATGTACGCTCGATCCGAAATGCTATCAACGATCGATTAGGCCCCGAATCTAATCGAACATTGCAACTTGTTGGAAGCGCTGTAGACGGAGTTGGTGTTAGTGACTGTGTCAAAAGTGCCGTGAAAGCTGTGGAGGACTTCTCCAAGCAATTCGCTGTATAGAGGCAACGACGAACTCAAAAAAACAAGCTGTGTGCTGAAATATTAGACAATGAAAAAGTCTACAATTACGAACAAGCCCGGCTTTAATATGGAAATAATTACATCTGCGTGCATTGTAAATTTGTTACTAATAAGATCGTTTTTTGAATCCATATTTCTTCCTTTCGTAAAAGAGGTCGGTTTTGGCGCTGCCAAGATTCACTATTTTGGGACAGCCGTCACGCTAGATACTGTTAACTGTTAAAATAAGGAACCTACATCCTTTTCCATTATTGTACATTCCCGGCAGTAATATGCATCTGATACACCAGTGCCTCCACAAATAACACATCTCCCTTGGTACGAACCGTAGTTGCATTCATCACAGATGCGGACAAGTGTACACGGCCGAACATAGGAGTCGCAGATCACGCATTTCCCGTCGCACTTCTCGCAAAGTCTACCAATAGCTGTGCTTACAATAATTACGAATACCAGACTTACAGACTCCTGGCTGCTTGCGGCAAAAGATAAGGTCCGGATGGTGCTTCGCCATGAAAAGCGTCCGTAACAAGTTTAAAATGTATTAGAAGTGATCTTGCGGGTGCAATGCGTCCAAATGAGCGAATAGCCATCAAAACGCAGTTTGTGCACGAAAGGCGCTTAAGGGGGTTTTGAGTACCTGTATAAGTTGGGATAGAAAATTAGGATTGGAAAAAACAGGGCCAAGATATGCTCAAGTGCTAATTTTGGCTAGCTATAATTTAATTGTGACCGGCTAAGGGAGGGCCATAAAATACAGGACATTTTGCAGTATTTCTGCAGTAAAAGTGCATTTAAAAATGAGTAACAAATAAAACACCTTGATAAGGCAGGTGACAAAATGCGACAGAAACTAAGCAACATTATTGGGCTGCTAATTTGTTTACTTTTGTGGCGGTATTTAAGCTCCTTTTTTGCTAGTATAACTACAATCGCACTTATAATAAAGCAAATTTGTAGGACTGAGGGTGGCCTAGGATTGCATTAGAAAATTTCAGGCAAATTTTTCAATAAAGAGCAAACAAATCACTGCACATACCCAACTCATTCCTTTTGCCTTAGAATATTAGAAAAGGCACTCAAAATTTTGTCTGGTATAATTAAATTAGGATGAAACCTACCACAATGGCAAATCCTGCCCTAAAACCCATTTTTATTAGGTCCATATGTGTGTAAATATACACATATACAAACTGCAGAGACAAACCATTTTCTAACCGCACCGAATTGTCCTCATTGTGTTCTTGAGATATTCGACTCACTACCATTATCAAGGTTAAGCAAGAGTGACCTATGTTGGCGCTTCCCTCGCATCTCTTTCTCTGACCTGTACGTTACAGTGGATGAGTTTTCTGCGCGATGTGTGTCGGATTGTTCATGACTCTCTATACTTATGTTAATCAGTGCAGTATTTTTGGTTTTCATTAGTCCAAACCCCGTCCAGTGCCTCGTATTTCATACCTTTATGATAAAAACCTGCTTTGTGGCATAAAATAATGATCGGAACCATTTTATGAATTTTGTATAAAAGCTTCTTTACACCGTTGTTTCAGCTTCATCACTATGCCGAGAATATCTGCCCCCTGTCACCTATTCCCTCTCCGATTGTATTTTACTGAAGTTGTAGAAGATGGCCTAATCAGTAATTTTGCGTTATTATTCCATTCAGTCATTTTCATGAATCGGACTGTGAGGTGTGAACAGATCCGTCCCGTCTGTAGTGGTGGCGACATGGTGCCAGGTCGTAGCGGTCATCGGATTATCTGCATCGCCAATGATATATACGTCATCGGTGGATACGTTCAATTACCGACAGGCCTGGAGGTGTTGGGCGAGGTGTGGGCATTTAACCTCCTGGCAGAGAGATGGCGGCGGCTCAACCTCCCAAACTGTCCCTTCCGCCTCGCTCTCTCCGCTTGCGCTCTCGCCGTCGGGAATCGCGTACTCATCCACGGTGGTACAGGCATTCCCTTTGCAGAGGAGATCAACAACACTGTCATTGAGATTGATGTGGTCACGGAGCAGTGCAAAGAGCATGCCTGTGTCCCTAAGAATGCAGATGAGAAAAACATTCCCGAGGCGACCTATGGCCACTCGCTGACTTACGTGTGCCTATCTGAGGATGAGAATAATTCCAAGTCTCTGGGTGGGGGTATGCTGGTCAAGGTAGGCGGAGCTCGAGGCGCACCCTACTCTAACGTGGTGAGCGCTTTCTCCTTCTCCACGGGAACGTGGGAGAGACTTTTCGGTGGTGAAGGGGTAGATTCTCTGGAAACTTTCACACCTAGGTATGTTGATTTTTGGATTTTACTCCCATTTATTGGAACAATATTTGAATCGTGCGTTTTTGCTACAAATGTAATCTCGTGGATGTCCATTTTTACTGCTTTCTGTTTAATTTCCTCTATTATATCTAATCAATGATGCTGAATTATGGGTCACCTTTTCCTCATCAGATCTTATGGCGACAACTTTAGTAACACAATACTACTACTCTCCTCTCTCAGTCGTTGAACAACGAATTCGGTTTCAGTAGTTACTACATCAATTGGCTCTGCAATCACCCCTTTCCAATACCCAAACTTCTATATCTGCTGAATACGGTTACGTTTGGTATCCATGTCAAATCGATGCTGAGGAATACGTGGGTTGTCAAGAATATTAGCTGTTAACAATTACGCGTCTATTTATTATGACACAAATTTTAATGAGGAAACCTGGGAGTGGATACGTAGCTTATGAGCATTAGTAGTTGTAATCCTACTGGAAACTTAACGCTAAAATGGCAACTTATTAATTGTTGCTAGCCGTGATCTTAACTAAGGTGCAATATCGGAACCATTACTGTGTTCGTTATAGTGCATACGAATGTGAAATTACCTTCTCCGTCAATATATGGAAGGGCTTTGAGACTGGTAGCTTTGATTACGATAATTAGGTCTCTGCTATCAGCGGTTAAACTGAATCTCTAACCAAATACGCCAATAAACGAAACAATTCTGTTAAAAATGTTGTTCATAGCAATCTCTCATTTGAGATACTCTTCCTCGAGAATCTATGCCGTTTAACTATTGCTAAGGCCCAACTTCGGCATTATGGTATGACATCTCAATTTAGCAACTTTTTTAAAATTATCTCTCGGTTTGATTTGGCAGCCAAATCACATCCCCTTACTAAATGAAGCGCAACAATCATAATTATTTTCAATGACAAATACAGTGATTATTCACTCAAATTTCCTTGACGCTTTTACTTTCCTCTAGATATCGACATGATGCTATTTTCTGGAATGAGGAGTTGTACATAATCGGAGGAACCAATTTCCAAGGCAGTCTGCCATTTTGGCCGGTGGGTTATTACACGTCAAATAGGTTTCGGTAGTGCAGAATGCTTTAATTTAGTGTTTCTTAGAGATCTCAAAACGACTGTTTTGTTAAAATTGCATGATTCTGTCACGGTTTCTTACATTTAACGCTGAAGAACCGAAGTTCAAGTGGGAATAACAAACGATATTACCATAAAATTGGTCGATGGTTTCATGATCATGCTATGACCGAAGTCCCTC